TTAAAGAATGAATAAAAGAGAAAGAAACTTGGCTTGATATTTATTTTCTTCCTTTCTGTTTTGGGGAGGTCACAGGGTGGGGGTGCCGGCAGACTGAGAAGTGAGTGTGACCAGGCTGCATGATGTGAAATTCCCCGATAATCAGTAAAAAATATGTGCTTTTAACAGAAGAGGCGGAGGCAGGAGGGTCACTTCAAGTTCAAGGTTAACCTGGGCTACTCGGTGAGTTCCAGAACAGCCCAGACCACAGAGCTTGGAGTTTCAGCGTGGATAATTATCCGCTGAAGGCTACCTGGCCAGGCTGTCAGGAGGCCCCCTGGATAGGGGCGGAGCCTCCTCCAGCTCCAGCTCGTGCAAGATGTCCTGCCTCACCTCAGGCAGGAAGCAATGGGAAGCAGAACTAGCTGGGCTTGAAACAAAACTTTGAAAATTGAGTCAAAATAAATCTTCTTTCTTTCTTTTTTTTCTTTTTTTGTGCCAAAGGTCAAGCCCAGGGCTGGAACATCTCTAGTGCTTGGTTTTCTGTCTCTAGCCATACCTCAGGCTGGCCTTGAACCTGAGATCTTGTCTCAGCCTCCAGAGTTTTGAAAAGTAAACACACAGCCAGGCAGGGCTGCTGCGTGCTGGTGAGCTCAGCATTCAGAAGATGGACGCATGAGATGCAGGAGCTCAGGGTTATCCTCCGCCAAATAGAAAATTTGAAGTCAGTCTGGTCAACATGGGACCCAGGAGGGAGGGAGGCCCAAATAGCCGGGAGAAAGCCGGAAAGGAGACCTCGGTCCGCAAGGGCTGCAGTTAGGAAACATGGCCACTAGGGGGCACTGGTGACAAGCAACGTGGACCGGCCAGGCGCTGCTAGGAGCCTTAAGACAAACTCGCACGTCGTTTGGTGGCGCATTAAATTTTGTGAGAGAGATTAATCCGGTTAAGTCTAAGAACAGGTGTTCCACGGCAATGGTGACAGGAAGCCTTGGGACTCAGAAAAGCGCGGTGGCCGGTCTTAGGGAAAAGGAGCCAAGGCGTGTGGATGACGCCAGTGGAGGGGCACGTGACCAGAGCAGCGTGAGGGGACAGAAAAATGACTTTAAAAGAGAGAAAGAGAGTTAAAGCACTGAGAGCGCTGGCTGCTCTTCCGAAGGACCCAGGTTCCGTTCCCAGCACCCACACGGCGGCTGCAGCTCCCGTTCTAGGACCTGGCACACTTTTCGGAGCTCCTTGGGCCCCAGGCACACACGTGTGCCACAGACATACATGCAGGCAAAACACTCAGGCGCGTAAAGAAAAATTTAAAGAAAGATCTGGTACAGACCTTCAATCCCAGCACTCGGGAGGCAGAGGCAGGCGGATCTCTGAGTTTGAGGCCGGCCTGGTCTACAAAGCGATTCCAGGACAGCCAGGGCTACACAGAGAAACCCTGTCTCAGCAAAACAAAACAAAAACACATCCTCAGACCAAGAACAACAACCTAAAGCAAGCAAACAAAACAAAAAACCAAAAAAGAATGAAAAACTGACTAACGGGGAGGGGGGGGGGGAATTACCAAAACTTGACTTTCTGAAAGATGTTTGCCCGGGAGAGGGCGCATGAGGTCAGAGGACAGCCCACAGAGGTGGCCTCCTCCCACCGTGTTGGTACTGAGGGTGGAACTGTCAGTTGGTGGGTTCCACTCTGCCAACTCAGCAGCTCCAGAAGCGGATTTTTACCTGAGTGTGTGTGTGGCGGAGACGGTTTTGGAGGAAAGGGGAACAGGGAACGGGGTGAGCAGAGGCCTTTTGTCTGCTCTGTAGGAAGCAAACTGTGTGTGAGGGAGGCGGGAGGGTCCCCAGGGAGGCATGTGCCACACCGAGAGAGGTGGTGAGCTGGGCCAGCCTTGCTCCTCCCTCACAGCCCTCGGGGAGGGGGAGGGGTGCTGCTCTCGTCCTCTTTACTCACAGAGGAAGGCATGGGGGGGGGGGTCACACGGCTCTCGGGACACGGCGGGGATGGCATCTGAACTCAGGCAGACCTTTTGGCTTGTCGCAGTGTCGGGGTTGGAACCCACGACCCGGCACGTGCCGGGCAAGCGTTCTCCCGGGCAAGCGTTCTCCCGAGAGCGGCCTCACCAGGCCTCCTTTCTAAGGTGAGTCCGAGTGAGTGAGTGCTGTACCTGCTGCTCAGAGGTCAGAAACCGGTGTCAAATCCCTGGGGATGAGTTAGATAGGGATGGCTGTGAGCGCCGGGAATTGAACCCGGGTCTCCTGGAAGAGCTGCCAGTGCTCCTAGCTGCTGGGCCATCTCTCCAGCCCCCATTTTTTTTTTTTTTTTTTTTTTTTTGGGACAAGGTCTCATTATGTAGCCATAGCTAGCCTGGGACATCCTACATAGTAGCCCAGGATGGCCCGAATTCCTGCGTGCCATGCACACAGGAGGCCGGAGGGACAACCTGTGGGAGTTGGTCCTTTTCCACTATGTGGGTCCCTAGCACTGAACTCAAGTCCTCAGGCCTGGCAGCAGGTGCCTTTATCAGCCAAGCCATCGCGTGGGCCAGGCTGGCCTCGAACTTACAGAGATCCGCCTGCCTCTGCTTCCAAGCGCCGGGACTAAACGCGTGTGCCACCTACGCCCAGCTGGCAGGTCACGCTTTTAACCCCGAAGGCATGCAGCTTCCGGGTGCTTTTGCCTTGGCCTTTGCGCTTATGTAACCAGCTGCCTTTGCATGGGAACTGTCAGCAACACCTCGGTAGGAATTAGCCAGTCTCCTCCTCCCAACACTAAAAACCACCCGGGGACACTTCACAGGGGTGCCGCCGCGCAGAGCTGAATAGCTGAGGCCGCCCTCAGGTTTGTGACTGAGGCCTCGGCCTCGGTGTCCCAGCCGTGGGACTTATCAAATGGCCCTGGTGGTCTGGCCCGCTGATTCTTGTCCTGCCTCTTGTTCTCTACAGGAAACCAAGAGGTCCCACACAGCGAGCACCCGGGGCTTGAACTGGCCTTTCTCACCTCCGTGACCATGAGGAACCAAAAACAGGTTCTGTGAAAGGGAAGTGGAGGGTTGCGCGGCTCACGCAGTGTCCTGGGACAGGAGCCACTGAGGGGGAGTGTCCCCCACCCCCACTCGGTCCTTCGCACCGAGGAAGGAGGAGCCTGCCTGTGTGGGGACAGCAGCCCGGCTGGCCAGCCAGGGTGAGCCAGCGGTTAACTCGCCTTTCCTGGCTGGCTCGGAGCCCAGGCGTGGAGCCCTGATCCTGGACAGGCAGCTGGAGGCCCGTGGGTGGGCCGTCTTGCTGAGGTGGGTGGGTCCTTTCCCTAGACACCCCAAGTGTGGGGCCAGGGTCTCAGAGCAGGGGCGGCCCTCCCCATCTCGCCACAGGCTGCTGCTCCTGCTAGGTGAGCCTGTAACTCAGCGCAGGAGCCATGGGGAGGTCGGCAGGCTTCCCTGCCTGGCGCGGGGACACTGTCCGCCCTGGCCAGCAGTTGGTTATCCCCATCGGAGCCCCGACAGCAGCCCCTCTGCTTCCAAGTTCAGCGTGCAGATATGGCCGACCGCTTCTTCCAGGGAGCCACCCCAGACTTTTGCACTGCTGGGGGATGGAACCAGTATCTTCCTTATGCTAAGCGGGGCCTGTCCTGCCGACCCACAGCCCTAGGCCCTCATTGGTGGTTTCCAGGCAAGCCCGCTATTGTCCTATTGTTCTGCCAGGAGGAACGGCTCCTCCCATCCCTGGTACCTAAGCCGGTGGTTCGCGGCTCCCGCCCAGCCTCCCTGACTGACCCGGGCGCCCCTCTCCCACTGTAAAGCCAGGGTCTGTGGCTTCCAGAGAGCCGCACCCAGCACGCTCCCCACGCAGCGGCCTAAAGGCGTCTCCACCTTCCCCTGTGGCCCGGGGACCCGGCCCTGGCCGTCCTCGCGGGAGCTGGGCCTCGGTCCATCCGGGGGGAGGTGGGGACAGGATGCGAGCCTCCGGGACGCCTCGGGGTCAGCGGGGTACGTTCTCAGGCTCTGCGGCCAGGAGGAATGCTGCTCCCTCCGCCAGGCCCGGCTGCGGCTCGGGGACCGAGGGCAGAGGCTGCAGAGGGCCAGGGCAGTTGGGGGAGGAAAAGCCAGACACCGGAGGCCTTTACGGAACCGTTAAATACAACTTGGAAACAATCTGGGCTCTGGGGGCGGGGCGCGGAGGCGGGCGGCCTCAGGGTGGGGCAGTGTGGGCCCGGTCCTGGCGGGGGCTCAGGCTGCGGTCCTCTGAGGGGCCCGGCTGCGGGAACCCCGGCTGCTTGTGCAGGCCCCGAAGCTTGGTCAGCAGCTCCTGGATGAAGTCCTGGGGGACAGAGTGGGGTTCTGAGCACAGGGCAGGAGGGGCTGCCCACCCCTAGGCCGGCGCCCTGGGGGGGAGGGCTAAGATAGAGGGGAAGAGGAGGAGGGGCGCGTGGAAAGATTCAGGGGAAGCTGGAATTACCCCCTGGGTCAGTCATCCCGTCCGAGGCAGGAGGGGGGGGGCATGAATCTACATACTGAGACCCTAGCTCAAGAAGGGGGGGGAGGGGCGTTTGACGGCGGCTCCGCGGTCAGGAGCACGGGCTGCTCTTCCAGAGGGCCTGGGTTCAGTTTCCAGCACCCACTGGCAGCTCACAGCCCTCTGCAACTCCAGCTCCAGGCAGCTGGGGCTCTGACGCCCTCTTCCTGCCTCCACGGGCACCAGGCATGTCTGTGTGCGCACACACACGCACACGCAGACAAAACACACGTACACACAGAATGAAGTAACATAAAAATAGAGATGGAGAGAGACAGGCAAAGAGCCAGGCTTGAGAGAGAAGAAGGAGCCGTTTCTCAGGCTGAGAACCGGTCCCCAGAGACCAGGTCTGAGCGGGCTCCAGCTCCAGGCAGACTGACAGGCGGTGACGTCTGTCCCTCAGGCAGCTAGGAGCTGAGGGGAGAACCCTGAATATTTTCCCTTTTAAAGCAGGGAAGGAAATGGGGGTGTTTGCACTGCCCAGCTCCAGAACCTGCAGGACGGGGGATTCCCCCCTCAAGAGGTAGCCGGGGAACCCCCCGGGATAGAGACAGTCACAGGGGAGAGAGGTGGGGAGAGGGCGAGCCCTCTACTCCCAACCAGCAAGGGACAGGCACCATATGGGCAGAGCGCCCGCCACTCGGGGGAGGGGCTCTGAGGCAGCAGCCTGTGGAGCCTTCGGCAGATGGGAGGTGGGAGGAGAGGGTGACGACAAAGAGCTGGACATGGGGGGGGGCTCCCTGGAGTTGCCTAGCCTGTCCCTATCCATCCCCGCTATGGCCTGCCTCCCCTCCCCCCGTGAAGATGAAGGGACCACTCCCGTGAGGACAGGAAACTCACCTCTGTAGGATTTGTGCAAGACTCCAGGAGTCCCTGCGGGCAGGCGGGGGTGGGGTGGCGGGTGAAAACAAACAAACAAACAAGCCAGCCGGTAAATGACTGACAGCTATTCCCTCGGAGCCCCTCCCCTCTCCCCCAAGGGAGCAGAGGGCTGACAAGCCAGGGGTGTGGCTTCAGGCCGGGGGCACAGACCCGGGACCTGAAGGTGGCCGGAGGCAGGGCTGAGTCACGGGAGAGCCAGGCCTCTGCCTGAGGTCAGAGGGGATCGCTAGCCCGGCAGTCCGAGTGTGGCCAAGACCAGTGTGTGTGAGCCTGGGAGGTAATTTAGCCGCCCGGGGCCTCGTTCCCTGCGCGGTGCTAACTGTGCTTACTTTATAGCGTTTTGTGGAGGATTCGGTGTCTGGCGTAGGAAGTGTTTAATAAACGTGTCAGCGGGCTATTCTGTTTAGGGCCCTGTAAAAATGTTGGGCTGGGGGGAGGGGCGGCTTGGCCCTTCCTCCCCACCTACCTGGATTTTGCGGCTTCTCTCAGCTTCACTGTCCAATTCCAACAGCTCATCAATGTTGACCTCGTCTGGCATATCTGACTCCTAAGGTCAGGGAGAGCGGGGGTCTGAGTCCTCGAATCCCCTGTCCCCCTCCACAGCCCATCATCCCCAGGCCCAGCTGGCCAGGCCTGCGGCAACAATGTGGCAGGCAGGGACAGCACCAGTGAGCGACATCTGGGTGTCCGGGGGAGGGGGAGTAGCAGATGGGTGGATGGAGGCCCAGGACCCGGTACCAGCCCGATGCCTGCACCCTTGGCTCGGCCCGGGGGGGACCTTGGGGCTGGCACGGGGCTCTCTCCTTGGCTGCAGTTCCTACTCGGCAAAGCAGGCCCAGTCCAGTCTCGGAATGCCAGATTCTGGGATCCAGGAGGGGCTGGCTTCTGCCCTTTCAAGGGAAAGTCTTAGCAGTGGGGTGGGGGAGGGGAGCCAGCTGGGGCGGGCCCCTTCCCCTGGGGACAAGAAGGGCTTCCGAGCTCAGGGCCGGCCAGGCCTCCCTGGGCCACCCTGCAAGCTGTTGGGTCCGGGAAGCGACCACCCAGGCCAGCCACGGTGGGCTGCGAGCAGGAGTTGTCTCTGAGAGGAGACCGAGGCCCGAGCAGGGGTACAGAAGATGTCTGGTCAAGCTGGGGACGGGACCCAGCTGTCCCGGCCATCGCTTCCCAGCTTAACGTCCTACTGCCCAGCTGGGGAGTGAGGGCGCTGCCTGCCCTGTGTGGGAGATGAGGCCTCTGGAAGCTGAGTGTGCCAGGCCAGAGGCTGAGGGGCCTCGTGACGGTGGCCTGAGCGAGTCTACTCGGTGTGACTGCCGCCCCGGTGTGGCTTTCTCATGTCTCACGGGCGAGCTGCAGGAACCCTCTTTTCTTCGTTCTTTATCTAATTAAATATATACACGTAGTAGGATCTTTCTATGCAGCCCTGCGTGGCCTGGAACTCACTTCGTAGGTCGGGCTGGCCTCAAATGCACGGAGATCTGCCTGCCTCTGCCTCCAGAGTCTAAAAGGTGTGTGCCCCTGTGCCAGGTTTGTTTTGGCTTTCTCAGACGGGTCTCTTTACCCAAGGCTGGCCCGGAACTCCTCATCCTCCTGCCTTCACCTTCACCTGAGACCACAGCACTTAAGAGGCCACGACCGGCTTGGTTCCCGACGGTCTGTATTCTTGGCGCACAGTTAGCAGTTCTGTGTGACTGTAACTTCCACACATGCCTGTGTCTGCAAGGCTGTGACGTCTGCACTTGAGTATGCACACAACTATAGCTGTGTGTGTGTGTGTGTGTGTGTGTGTGTCGTTAGCAGATAATGGATGGATGGTCCTATGTAACTTGAGTCCCTCTGCGTCCCGGGATGGCTATGGGAGCTTGGGGCGCTGACGCTTAAACTGATGTGTATCTCTGCACAGCTGTAACCCTTTTCTTAGCGCCGAGTGTGATCGTGTGTGTGTGTGTGTGTGTGTGTGTGTGTGCGAGAGAGAGAGAGAGCGTGCGCGCGCTCGCATGTTCCTGGGTCCAGGCTTGCTGCGCTCGTGCGCTGTGAGTTTGTGTGTGGCTCAGTCCTGCTTCTGTATCTGTGGGCGGCTGGGACTCCGTCATCTGTATACACTGTGGCTTCCTGTGCCGGGAGTCCGCCGCGCTATCTCTCCTGTCACCCGGGTCTATGTTTGGCTTAAGGACATCCCCTCTCCCTGTCCGCTCCCTCGGTGTGTTGGCTCCGGCGCCCTGTCCTTTCTTGTCTCGCGTGGAGGACCCTCCCAGGTGCCTGGCCTGGGGCCCGTGGGTGCGTGCTGGTCCCCGAGGGCGCAAGCTGGGTGCCTCTGCGCAGGGACCGGGGCCTCAGGCATGCGTCCCGGCAAAGGCCGCTGCCGGGGGCGGCGAGCATGTGGCCGGGGCAGCGGGTCGCGGGGTCCCCGGCCGCCCCCCCCCTCGCCCCGGCCCCTCTGGCCTCACCCTGCCTCGGTAGAGCTCCTCCAGGCGTCCGTCGATCCACTTCTCCACGTCCAGCCGCCGCTGAAGCTCCCGCCGGTCGTACTTGACGGTGACCCGCGCGTGCCGCTTCTGCAGCCCGCCGGGGCTGCCCCCCGGGCCGCGCGCCCGCGACGGGGACTGCAGCTTGCTCAGCACGCGCTTGCCCAGCCGCTGCGCTGCCATCGCCGCCCGCCGCTCCGGCTCTGCGCCCGGCCGGGCGC